GAATTTCATCTCTAGCCAAGAAAATCTTCAAGACCCAATTTGCTTCTGAATTTGATCTTCCAAGCCCTAGATTTGTTGTCGGCTTCAACTCTTCGATGATCATACCGTCTCTTGAAAGCCCAACTTCACTTTCGCCAACGCATCAAGTTAGGATTAGGGTTAGGTTTAGGATATTAGCGATTGCTGATTTATCTTTTTTAATGCTGGACCTTTTTATTACAGTATTTATGGATCCATTCATGTACATATTTAATGTCATATATTATTTAATGTTGCTTAAAATTATTGAATATATTAAAACAGGTGCTTCTGAATTATATATACAAGTTTGATATCTAATTTTTTTTTTCTTAATAAAAGAAGATATTATAGAGTGTTTTGTTATTATTATTATTATTGACTTATGGAGATTTTTATACTTCCTCAGGAATAGATTTAAATTCATATTCTCTATTTGTCCATAAATGTCTTTAAGTAATTTTTTTAAGTAATTAATTTAGTTTTAGTCAATATATATATATATATATATATATATATATATCACTAATATTGTGTAAATAAAAATGTCATAAGATGGTGATTTTGTTGTTGAAATGAATGGTAACACTAGTTAACATCTAATAAATAAATGAATCTTATAAAATTTTCTTTAATTTTTTTTTTAAAAATTTATTTTCATACAACCAAATAAAATTTATGAATGTATTCTTTGAGTAAAATCTTTCTTTCATGAATTTTTTTTTTTTTTTTTTTTTTTTTTCTTCCCTTCTTTTAAGTTAAGAAAACTATTTTTAGATAACCAAATAGTTTTTAAAAATTTTTGTTCTTTGAAAACTGTTTCGGAGTTTTTGTCAACCAAGCGAATTTTCTAACTCAAAAAACTGAAAACTGATCTCAGAAACTGTTCCCAAAGTTGCATTGCAAGCAAGGCCTTGGTTTCTCTTTAAACCAGTAAACCCGACCCGTGTCACAGTTTGACCCGGTTCACTTTGAAACATCCAGCAGCCTGCAGCCTGCAGCCCAGATTTTAACACCCATACCAGAGTGTTTGTCTTGGCCCAGCAGATTTTCTCCAGCCCAGAATCATATGCAGCACTGTTTGGTCACAAGTGCAGGGATATTCTAGTTTTGGAACCAGTCCAGAACTGCACCGGTTTTCAGCAGAAACCAGCCCAGTAAAATACCAGTTCTACAGGGAAAAAAAAAAAAGGGCAGAAATCTTTATTTCAATTATTGAAGCCATTTTTCATAATCTTCAACACCTGGGAGCATTCAATTGGGATCTATATTGGACTTTGAAAAGGTACATATACTTCAATTAAAATTGTTTTAGTACTTTTATCCATTTGATCAGTATAGAAATTTGCAAAAAGGTCCTAATTGAACCATTTAAATTTTGAACCCCTTTAAATTGCCTCAGTCGCACATTTAATAAAAAATAAAAACATCTTTTCATTGTTTCCACTTTATTTTTACACCTAAACCAGTGCATGACTTCTAGCATAATTAATTTCATTTGCATTCAGATTTCTTAGTTGTGCATTGTTCTAGTTTATAATTTAGTTTACTTAATTCAATTTGAGTTCTATGTTGGCATTATCCTCAACCATTCTTATACCTTTCCACCATGACCATCAACAACCTTCTTTAAACTTTGTCCATTGACCTACTCCTCTTAACAATGTCAGAGGAGAACATCGTTTTATGTCCCCAATGGCTTTGTTTTAAGCCAAGCAAGGTTAAGATTGTTGAGTCCAAACCAAGCTTCCCATCACATGGAAATAGCATTAACTGGTGTGAAAATGATAGGGAAACAAAAACAACACTGAAAATAAATTTGGAACAACAACTTCTGAAAATTGGAAATAGGCTTTTTCAACCTCCATCCTCAATCAGTGCGCTCCTTTGGTTGCTTAACAAAACTGATCACTTGCTTTGCAAAGTACACCAGGACCCATGTGCTTCAATGCAAGCTGCACTCTCTTCGATAATGAAGGCTTTAATTGCTAAAATGTTTTTAAAGCATTCAGATTGTGATGTTAGAGTTGCAGTAGCCTCATGCCTTAGTGAGTTAACAAGGATTACAGCACCAGATTTTCCCTATAATGATGATCAAATGGTAGAAATATTTCAGGTGATTGTATCATCTTTTGAAAATCTATCCGATACATCTAGTCCATCTTATGGTAAAAGGGTCAAAATCCTCAACACATTTGCAAGTGTCAAGTCATGTTTGATAATGTTAGATTTGGAACGTGAAGAGTTGATTGTCCAGATGCTTCAGTACTTTTTAACAGAAATAAGATATTTTCATCCGGACAATATCTTTAAACATATGAAGTAAACTATGACTCTTGTACTGGAGGAATGCGACTATATCTCCATAGAGCTACTTCGTCCTCTTCTAACTAGTGTTAGGAAAGGAAATCAGACTATTTCACCTCAATCTTATAAGTTAGGAGAAAAAGTCTTGAAAAACTGCGCTACAATTCTTGAGCCCCGTCTTCCAAAGGCTCTACAATCTTTAGGCCTTTTGTCCACTGATTTTGTTGTAGTAGTCGCCTCTATTTGTCAAGATGTGTCTGAATTACCAAATATGACTATTGTGCAAAACACAATTGACTTAGCCCCAGAATCGTATTCAGTTGCCACACATAATCTCACACATCCTTGTGAACATGTTGAACTAAGTCAGCCAGATGATAGATTTGCACAAAAAGAGATCACTCAAGATTGCACTGAAGAGATTGGTAAACTTCATGAGTCATCCACATCCACTGTGTCAAACAAGGATGTCAAGTACAACAATAATTTTTGGAAGACACTTTGGACATTCTTAGAAACAAATTTGAAGTTTCCTTTTGCATCTTGTCTAGGTGCACGTTAGTAAGAAAACTAACCAACTTTCTTAGATGCAAAAGAAAATTGTTATTGCCCATTATGGAATATGCCTATACAAGTTTAACAAATCAATTTACTGGCAATTATTTTTTTGAGATTGTCTATAATTCATTTCCATGCCAGTCCATTGATCATGTTCCTTCACCTCCATGTTTGTATTCACTTGAGTTTGTTGATTCCTTCGTTCAGCTTGTTCATGATTTTTATGCCGATATATGACAAGAAATTGTCTTAAGTAAAAAGAATTATGAACTTGTTGCATATGCTCATAATAGGAATCATGAATTTAATGAAGGAGATTATGCTATATTTTGTGCACTACCTCAACTTTATCAATGAAACATGCCAAAATTGAAAGACTTTTCCACATCATTCAAAAATCAGGATCTGATGCCTATTTCTTTGACTGGTCTTTGGATATGAGCACTAATTCAATTTTTGATGCGGAGTATTTGTTATCTGACCGAGGCACCTTTGAGCCTCCTATTTTATTGGCATGTGTTCCTACAGGTGGATTTACATTTTCCTCAGCACCGGCATTAGTTCATCTATCTTTTCTGCCGCATTATATGGATTGGACAAAGGGTATTGTTGATTATCAGAGTGATGGCCCTCATCTTGGAGATATTGAGTATTACCTTGTTCGATGGAAGGGTTTTCCAGTTTTAAATACCAGACGGAGTATTGACCCATACTTTTTGGAGATATACTTGTGCATTTACTCTCCGGAGGAGAGTTCTTCTCAACCAGGAGGGAATAATGAAGAACCAGGCCTGGCCAGAGAGCTTGAAATCCATACGGCCCATGCCTATTATTGGAGACGTGGGAAGGAAAGATAGAATTAGGGATTTTGACTTTTATTATTATTATTATTTGATTTTAGGATTTCTATTTATGGTTATAGTTTGATTAGGGTTTTTCTTTGATGCCTATATAAGGTTGGTTAAGACATTGTGAAAGGCAGCTTTTAACGATTATTATTGATATTGAATTTGAGATTTTCGTGATTTCTTCACCCTCTGAATTCTTTTCCCTCTATTCTTCTTCCCTTTCTCTCTCAATCTCTTTCTGAATCTACATGAATTCTGGTTTCGAATCACCCCTACCCGCTGCTGCATCAAAAAGTAGTTACCAGAAAAAAGTATAACAATCATATCCAACGGTCATCATGCTTGGTGTGGATAAGTTTCTTACTCACCGGTGTGCAAGAGATCATTTCCGATCATAAGTATACTTAATATAAATTATATAAATAATAACTTAGGTATTGTATGACTATAAGCTTCGTAAATTGTTATAAATATTAACTCATGATCTTTTTAATATTAACTCTCTTTCTATATAACGTAAACTTCTTATAAATTTGTAAGTTATAATAACCTTTTAAGTTCTTGGTAAGTACAAATTAAGTTATAAAAGATAAGTTAAATAAATATAATTGAGACTTAATATATATAAATTAGAGTTATAGTTGACGTACATTGGATATGAAAATGAATGATGAGATCATGAATGATGTAATATTGCACTTGTACATTGATAATAATTAACGTAAAAATAGGTTTTTCATTTTTTCAAAGAAAGATTTGCGTCTATTTTTCTGGGCTGGCTTCAAGGGCTAGATTTTGTCCTCACACTAACCTTCCGGCCTCTAGCAAGGGTCGGTACGAAATTGGGCCAGGCCAAGCCATTGTTTTCGCCCTCCGAATTTATAATATTGAGGGATTGAATTGGCAATCTGTTTAGGGATTTTACTGATAATCCGCTTCTCGTCTAAATCATCCATTTATCTACCGTGGACTTTATCCTATGTTTCTGAGGTAATGACAATATTGAGATTTTACTTTCTGGAGAAAAAAAAAGTGTGGAGATTTTAGGTGAAAATTATTTTGATACAAAGATTACAGAATGTTTAATGCCTGGTGATTCATTCTCAAACTGTGTTAAATGAAAAAAAATAATTTCTCTAAATGAATTGCTTAGATTGTTAAATATAGTTACTGAAGAATGTCTTACATCTAATTTTTTATTCAACTTGTCTTTGGTTAATTTATTGTACCATAATAGGTACTTCTCTTTTTAATGTCTCCATGTCCCAGGTTATAATAGCCACAAATATTGCTGAGACTAGTATCACAATAGATGATGTGGTATACGTTATCGACTCTGGAAAACATAAGGAGAATCGTTATAATCCACAAAAGGTTTGTGCTTTGTCTCAACAAATAAATTCTATATTAATATTTTTTTATTGTACAACAGTATACTAGTTTTTCTAATTGCAGCTCATGATAATTCCTTTTTTTGTACATGTTATTATGAGCTATTTATATATATATATATATATATATATATATTATAAGTATTAAGAGCTAAAAATATTTACTGACCCCATCATCATCCAAGCATTTTCTACATTTAGCATTCTTCTTGTTTCTGCTGGTTATGGAAACATTCATGGAAGTATTTCTGTAACAGCCGTAGATAATATATTTGATAGAATACTATCATCATAGATAGTGACAAGTGGATGAATAATTTTTCCTAGTGCCATGCAAGCTTTTATTCTTCGTAGTTTACTAAGCTCATTGAACCTAACTTAGGTATAGGGATATCTTCATAGATAGGCAGATTTTATGAACTCCCAATGATCTGTTTTATACATACTAGCTTATATAGGAGGTATTATTCTTTAATAAAGAAAATAGAAAGTAAAAAAGGAAAATCTTATGTAGGAGCTACCTTCCATGATGTTGGCTTGTTTATTTTATTTTTATATACTTCCTTTTTCACCAAGGAAATTGGTTCATTGGTTACTCAAATAACATTCTTTAGGGTGACTTCTTAGAGTATAATTTTTTGTCTGCTTGCCAGTTTAATATGCATAGTGGCATGTAATTTATTGATTCCAAGTGTTGTAATTATTTGCCATTAGAAATTGTCAAGCATGGTTGAAGATTGGATATCTCGAGCAAATGCAAAGCAACGTCGAGGAAGAGCTGGACGTGTAAAACCGGGGATCTGCTTTTGCTTGTATACACGCCATAGGTTCGAGAAACTCTTGCGCGCATTCCAGGTATTTAGTGCTCCAGTAAAGTGTGTGGTTGTTTTTTATGCTATTTAAAGAGTGATGGTTATAAATCCTTATGGTCACTTTGTGATTGATTCTATTCAATGCCAAGATACCCGAGATGCTGCGGATGCCATTAGTAGAATTGTGCTTACAAATTAAATTACTTTCACTTGGTAACATAAAGCCATTTTTGTCGAAGGTATGTTTTCTGTAATCCTTATAAATAGGTGATTTCTTTTAATAATGTCTCTTGCAGTTTTGAATGATGAAGTTCTCTCTTTTGTGTTGTGCCTGGATTCTATGTTAACGTGGTGTTTTCAGGCTCTGGAACCTCCAAGGGAAGAGGCTATGAACTCAGCAATTTCATTGCTATATGAGGTATGTAAAATTGTGTGTTGTGAAAAAAGATGTTCATTCAGTATGTTGTGAACTATGGTCCTAGAACTAACTTTGAACACATGAAATATTGCCTAAAGATATTGATCTGGTTATGCGTCTTGGTTGCTCTAATGTGCACATTCAGTAATCTTGGTCTTAATTCCTGCGTGAATAGAGACTTCCAATTTTCTGAACAGAGGATATTCTGATAGACCAATTTATGTCTGAAGTTTTGCTCTATATAGTAATGGAATGTATAATTTACTGAAATATGAGAACAAAAATGGGTTACAAATGCATCCTTATTGGAGCCTGTGTGAAGAGTGAAGGAATCGACAAAGGAATTGTCTCTTTCTAATGGCTATCTGTTGCAGCTCTTCTATTAGTGTTTAATTTTTTTGTCAATCTAATAATCATTTAATTTTTTTTATTTATTTTTATTAAGTTTTAACTGATTCCACTTAGAATTGATTTTCCTGTGACCATTTGTGTTCCAATACATTTTTGTCTGTTCTGACATGATCACCATCATGTTTGATATGTCCATTTTCTGACATGTGGCTCAATATTTCAAGTTTTTATATACTTGAACAAATTGACCACCAGCTTTCTAGCTTGATTGGTATCTCCTGCTACTCCATATGGTGGAGGGGTGGGTTCATTGGCATGTGTTGTACTCCACAGACAAATGTGTACCTTAGGGTCTGTTTTGGCAACCACTTTTGTTTTGTGTTTTGTGGTGTTGATGGTGTACTGTAGCGAAGCACAACACCGCATCATGTTCATTTGAATAGTATAGGCGTTTGTTGCCGAAAAGATTCCCAAATCGGAAACAGAAAGGTGTTGTTTCCTAATGTTTTTGTACTGTAGCAAAAACACTGTAGAAAACTCTAGGTGGCCTTTTTTAACTAACCATTTTGTTTCTCAATCTTGCAACACTTTTTTATCAAACATTTTTTCATGTTTCTGTGTCCAAAAATCTTGCAACAAAATTTTCATTACCAATCGTGCTTCCAATTACTATTGAACACACTCCACAAAAAACGGATGACAACAGAAGCGCAAAACGGAAATGCTTGCCAAACAGGCCCTTAGCAAATTGTTTCCACATTTTTTTGTCATGCTCAATCGAACTTTGAAACAAATTTTAGAACCGCGTTTACGTTTATCTGATGCTTTGTTTTCGTGTAATTGCTATCTATCTAGTTTATGGTGTTGTGTTTGGTGAAACTGTAACAATTTACTTACTGATGTTACTTTCCTACAATGTAAAGCATTTGACTCTGCAAAATCTTGTCAAAAATCTCATTGATCTTAAATTTCTCTCCAAATTCTTATCCATTTTCCCTTAAAAATAGGCGTTCTATTTGTATATGTTCTCATAGCGATCAATATGTAACATGAAATGTATGATTGCCTCGAAGGCTGCTAGTCGGATCTTAATTTATATGAATTTAGTTTCGTATCTTCCAGGCTTTTGATGTCATAATTCATGGAACATCTAATTGGGCTATGATTTAGGTTGGTGCCATTGAAAGGGATGAAGAGTTGACTCCCCTTGGGTATCATTTGGCGAAACTTCCAGTTGATGTATTGATTGGAAAGGTGTGTCTAAAGTAATTACTTTTATTTACATTTACCAGTAGTGTTGGCTTTCCTTTTAATATTTCATTTCCTTGTAGAATGGATTCAACAGCAAACTTTATTGCTGACAAGCCCTTTCTGTTTTCTTAATTATCTTCTTTTTGCTAGTACTGCTACTTCAATTTTTTTTTTTCTTTTCCTCTAATAACCAATGCATAGGCTTATTTTCCTTTCTCTTGAAGTTTTTTTTTTTTTTTTCAGCAGCTAATTTTAATTATACGAAAGACTTGTTATACTTTCCAGCAATCTTTTCAGTGCTTGACTTGTATGGTCCTGTTTTAGGTTTGGACTTTTTGACAGGCTATATTTGTTTTCTCTTCTACCTTAGCCTTTTTGAGCATTCATAATGGATTTTAAGTCTCTCTCTCTCACATGTGTGAATGCATATTCATGCTCTAGTTGTCATGGACCGGCACGAATAATTTTTATTGGGCCATGCTATTGATACTATATTTATCTGGAATCGCAGATGATGTTATATGGTGGAATATTTGGTTGCTTATCACCCATTCTCTCTATTTCGGCATTTTTGAGCTACAAGTCTCCATTTGTATATCCAAAAGACGAGGTCTCTTTTGTAATGCATACTATTTTTGTTTTGTTTTTCAGAAAAGAAAGGAATTATATCATGGAAAATGTTTTCTGTAAATTGCAGAGGCAAAATGTTGAAAGAGCAAAGTTGGCACTCTTGACTGATAAGCCAGACAGTGCAAACAATTCAGATGATGGTAACCGGCAATCTGACCACTTAGTGATGATGATTGCATATAAGAAATGGGAGAAGGTACTGCATCAGGTTAGTCAATGTGCAACCATACTTCCAATCATATTTTCTATGTAACGGATGGGTTACTTTAGTGGGTGAGGATTGAATCTCCTGTCATGTTTAGTTATATGGTTATAGGTTGAGTTCGGTGGGATCTGGCCAGATTTAAATTTTAAATTTGACTGTAGATACCAATTTCAAATTCAATCCTGGATTCAAAAATCTGAATTTCATTTGAATCTGAAAAAAGGTTCCATGTTTACTAAGTAGATCAAATTAACTAATTTTTCTATAGTATTTGATAAAATAACTAAATTATTCTTGTAAAAATACATAAAAAAGGGCTAGCCCAGTGCACGGGGCTCTCGCCACTGCGGGTTCTGGGGAGGGTTTGATGTTCCGCAGCCTTACCTCCATATGTGGAGAGGCTGTTTCCTGTTTTGAACCATGATTTCCAGGTCACAATGGAGCATCCTTACTATTGCGCCAAGGCCTGCCTGCATTCTCATAAAAATACATATATCATAAAATTTATCCTGATTTAGATCTTTGTCAAATGGACTATACCTAAGGTTGAACTCATAAATCACATTCACATTTGAATATATTCAGTTCTGTAATGTAAAGTCGAGTGGATTGAATTGCTCGGATGCTAGTCCGACCAAGACATTGCTATCCTTATGAAGGTGTCTGCTTTAGAACCAAAGACTGGAACAAATGCATGCATTATGACAATGAAAATTTCTCATTCCTTATTATGCCACAGTATGGTTTGCTTGGTAATCACGACCCCAGAAGAGATCAGTGCCTTTGTTGACTTCAAGCTTACAGATTTATGTCTATATAGAAAAGGAATTGTTTATATAGATTAGGAATTGTGGTATGGTGCTGCACCTAAGGCAAGTTCTTACTGGTACGGTTTATTTTTATTATTTATTTTTTATTATTATTATTTTTTTGCAGGAAGGAGTTAAAGCTGCACAACGTTTTTGCAATTCTTATTTTTTAAGCAGTTCAGTTATGTACATGATAAGGTTAATTCTCTTTTCCTGCACCTATGTTACTTAGTACCATGTGCTGCACATTGTTGCCTTTGTGATTTCATCATGCAAGCAACCTTAAAACATACTAATTATGAAAACATGACTTTGCCTGTTAACTTATGTCTTCGTATTCTGGCCATTGTGGATTTCAATAACATGGTTTTGCGATTTACATTTTGAAAATAATGTCAGTTTTAATCATGATCAAATTAATAATAATTGCTTTCTGAGCAGTCTTATGAGTTTTCTTATTTATGTATTGACATATCAGAGACATGCGAATACAATTTGGAACGTTGCTAGCGGACATCGGACTCATTGATCTTCCAAAGAATCATCAGGTGCTTTGCTGTAATATTTTGTAATAAATAATCCCGAGTTTTAATTTTTGTAAGCAGAGGTGAGCCTCTTTCTCATATCTGTGTGGTTCTACTTCCATATGCATATGCTTAGCAAATAGAAGACCTCTTCTTAGTAATGACCCCCTGTATTGAGAATTTACCAAACTGCTTAGAGAGAGAGAGAGAGAGAGAGAGATTTTTACTGGGATCCAGTTCCCGTCTTTATCAACTATAATAATGATTGTGAAAGAAGATCCACATGCCCTAGAGAGAAAGTGATGGCTCGAAATCCAATGCCATCATAGCAAATGACCAGAGAAACAGCTGTTTATGTGTCTGTTAATCCACTGTGCATGCTTAATGGCATCTGTTCCATATGAAATGCTGAGGAAGTAAAAGAAAACATCAAAATCCATAACCAAGAACACTCTACTCCCTTCATAGCCTATTGTAGATCAACAAAAGTTGATTCTTGACTATATACCACAAAGCCAGCTCCATACTGCTAATAATAATCTCTGTAATTAGTCAGTAATTATGAAAGAGTCCCTTCACAATGCATCATCCCACATATATATAGGCCTAACAATAGAATCCTAATAAACCCTAATACCAAAATATAAAACTAGATAATTAAGGAAAGTAAAATATAAAAATAAATCCTAAATCATCCTCTATGTCTACACCTATAGTAAGTTCGTAAACCACACGGTTCATCAGGATCTCCATCAGTGCCATATTCTTAGCTGATACCAAACAGTATGACCTTTAGATAACTTGTCTATTGAGGCCCGTTGAAATCTAAGTGATGATTCAATCTAATCCCCAAAGGTCACAACCAGTGGCTGAAAAGGCAAGTTTGAGAGCCAGATTAATAATGCTACTTATATTCTTCAATGAAACTTAATTCTTCCAATTTTCCCAAGAGCTGGGAGAATGAACATGACACAAATTGGGCTGAAATTCAATTGTATTGAAATCACAATGAAATTACATTGTTATATACACTTCAGAGGATCTAAATTAGGAAGCTCTAAAACTAGGAAACTGTCTAATACTAGAGATATTGACCAAAAACTAATTCCCTAAAATCAGGGATTACAATGACTAAAACATTACAAAATCTCCTGGCTAATTACAGCTATACACACACGGTTTCCTTAGCTAATTACAGCTATACACACACGGTTTCCTTATTTATAGAACCGAATTTTCCACACTCCCCCTCAAGCTGGTGAATGGATATCATCCGTTCCAAGCTTGCTTGCTAGTCTCTGAAAAAACATTCCAGACAATCTTTTGGTGAGTATGTCTGCAAGTTGATTGCTAGTGGAAATGAATGATGTGCAAATTAGGCCACTGTCAAGCTTCTCCTTTATAAAGTGCCTGTCAACTTCAATGTGCTTCGTACGGTCGTGTTGCACTGGATTATGTGCAATATTAATGGCTGACTTATTGTCACAATAAAGCTTCATTGGACCTTCCCACTTGACTCTTAGATCTTCTCAGACAATTTTCAGCCATAATAATTTGCAAATCCCAAGTGCCATTGCTCTAAACTCGGCTTCTGCACTGGATCTTGCCACAACATTCTGTTTTTTACTCCTCCAAGTCACAAGGTTGCCTCCTAGAAAAGTGCAATAACCCGAGGTAGATCTCCTGTCAATTACAGACCTTGCATAATCTGCATCAATGTAGGCTTCAAGAGTTAGCTCCTCCCCCTTCTTAAATAGAATTCCTTTGCCCTGTGTGCCTTTCAAGTACTGTAGGATTCGATACACAGCCCTAAGATGTGACTCTTTGGGATTGTGCATGAATTGACTTACAACACTAATTGCATAGGCTATGTCTGGTCTAGTGTGTGACAAGTAGATAAGCCTTCCCACAAGTCTCTGATAGGAGCCTTTATCTACTGCCGTGTCTTCCCGAGCATCTCCAAGCCTGTGGTTGGACTCTATAGGCGTCTCTGCTGGTTTGCAACCTAACTTGCCTATTTCCATCAACAAATCTGTTACATATTTTTGCTGAGATATGAAAATTCCTTCCCAAGAATGTGCTACCTCAATGCCGAGAAAATACTTTAGTTTGCCGAGCTCTTTGATTTCGAATTCTTTCACTAAACACTTCTTTAAATTCTCCATTCCTTCCAAATCATCACCTGTTACTATAATGTCGTCTACATAGACTAACAATGTAGTCACTCCCCCTGAAGCCGAGTGCTTTACAAACAAGGTGTGATCGCCTTGGCTCTGTTTGTATCCCATGTTGAGCATTACCTTGGCAAACCTTCCAAACCAAGCTCTTGGAGACTGTTTTAATCCGTACAACGCCTTTCTTAACCTGCATACCACCTGTCCTGTATTCGAACCAAACCCAGGTGGAGAACTTCCATATAAACCTCTTCCTTGAGATCACCACGTAAAAAGGCATTTTTGACATCGAATTGCTGTAATTTCCAGCCCAGATTAGCAGCCAATGACAACAACACTCTAACGGTGTTCATCTTTGCAACAGGAGCAAATGTCTTAAGATAATCTATTCCATATGTTTGGGTATAGCCTTTAGCAACTTACCTTGCTTTGTACCTCTCCAACGAACCATCTGACTTGTATTTCACCGTGAATACCCATCTACATCCCACCGGTTTCTTCCCTCTCGGCAATTTCACCAAGTCGCATGTCCTGTTCTTCTCAAGTGCTTTCATTTCGACCTTCATGGCATTCTTCCAATTCTCATTACCTAATGCCTCGGATATGGTTTTGGGAATGGAGATTGTGTTTAGGCTTGTGAGAAAGGCTTTATGGTTATGGGACTGATTCTTGTATGACATGAATAAGCACAGAGGGTGTTTGGTGCATGCTCTAGTTTTCTTTCTAATAGCAATGGGAATATCATAATCACTTTGATCAAGAACTTCAGTGACACCATATTCATTAGAAATAGGTTCAGTAATTACCTTGCTAAGTCTAAGAGCAGGGGTTGATTTGGGTGATTGAACCTGCACAGATTGAGTAGGGTGGCAATGGGGTGGTTTGGGGTGGGTTTCCCATTCCCCATCCCCGCCCCCGCCCCATCCCCACTTGCCCCGCCCCTTCCCCCGCCCCATAACCAATTTTATTTTTAGGGCAAATCATGTTAGCCTCCCCAGTCGCCTCCATCTCTATTCTCGTTCTCAACTCTGAACTTGCCCTCTCTCTCTCTCTCTCTGCAACTGCAAACTACAAAATCTACAAGAATCAGAAGGTCAAAACCCATATATTTCAGTTTATCTATCTGTCTGCAAGAATCAAAAGTTCAAAACCCATATCAGCATATCATTTCAGATTGTTCAAGAATAAAAAAATCAAAACTCTGAACTTGCCCTCTCTCTCTCTCTGCAACTGCAAACTACAAAATCTACACTCTCCAACGACTCATCCGGATCTGGTTTGACTCGATCCGATCCCAACTCACCCACCAACTCGCCGCCTCCCAAACTCACCTAACAGCCTCCAAATTCACAGACAAACCAACCAAGAAGTTTGGACATCACAATTCCTAGCTTCTTCAGGTGTCCAATCTCACTGGACTTCATGAAATCCCCTGTGACTCTCCACCACAGCGGAGTCACCTACAACCGCTCCAACATCCAATGTTGGCTCGACGAAGGCGAACTCACCCAACAGCCTCCAGACTTCGTCCCCAACCACACTCTCCAACGACTCATCCGGATCTGGTCTGACTTAATAGCAAAATAAAATGGTGGATGTATTCTGGGTTTGAGAGAGAGCTCAGAGACAGAGACACGGCTGCCGCTGCTATTGAAGTGTAGGGTTTGAAACTGAAGTGTAGGGTTTCCAATATATATATATATATATATAGTGAAGGTTAATTTGGTAAATATATTAACATGGCAGGGTAAATTAGTAATTTCATATTAAACGGGGCGGTTATGGGGCGGGTATCTTAGTCCCCCGCCCCCGCCTTGCAACCGGCCGGTTTTTTTTTTAACCCCCATTCCTACCCCATTTAAGTAAACGGTTCTCCAAACCCACTTTAAATGGGGCGGGGGTGAGGCGGTTCCCCACCGGGTTGGGGATTTTTGCCACCCCTAAGATTGAGTGATTGGTGCCCTTCTTCTTGAAAAAACCAGCAGTGGACGAGTAGAGTCTTGAATTTGTTTTCTCTTTATCATCTCTTGTGACTTGGGTGTATGAGGCTCGGTTTCAGGATGTATGGATTCGGACTGAATGTTTGGCTGAAGCTGGACTAGCTCAGGTTGATCAATAGGAACGGACTGAATGTTAATAGGAACGGAGTGAGTGTTTGGCTGGACAACAAAGACAGGAACCGAGGAGGAGGACAATGGAAAATCAAGAAGAAAAAGATCCTTGTCCTTATCTTCCGTGAATGAGATCTCCCCCTGAAGATAAGGACAAGTGAAGTAATGATCTTCTTCGACAAAAGTGACATCAGCTGACACAGAATTTTCTTGTGGGAGGATGATAGCATTTGTACCCCTTTTGAGTGGAAGAATAGCCAATAAAGAAGCATTTGACAGCCCGTGGATCAAGTTTTCCCCTGTTTTGAGAATGCACATGGACAAAAGCAACACAACCAAATATTTTGGGAACAAGACTACTTGAAGCATTGAAATTAGGAAAGAATTTCGTTAAAATTTGCATAGGACTTTTAAAATCAAGAACCTTTGTAGGCAATCTGTTTATCATATGAGCAGCAGTCTAAACCGCTTCCCCCCAATATTGCTTAGGAACATTTTTTTGAAACAAGAATGCTCTTGTAATAGCTAAAATGTGATCATTCTTTCGTTCAACCACACCATTTTGTTGGGGTGTGTTAACACAAGAAGATTAATTTATTATGCCCTTTTCTCGGAAATATGGTAAGAGAAATTGATAAAAATAGTCTTTAGCATTGTCAGAACGAAATCTTTTTATTTCAGTACCAAATGGTGTTTTGACCATGTTGTAAAAAACAGGAAAGACAGAGCTCATATCAGATTTATTTTTCATAAGAAAGATCCAAGACACATGAGTGCAATCATTAATGAAAGAAACGAACCACCGAGCCCCAGAAATGGTAGAAACAGTGGACGGTCCCCAAATGTCACTATGAATAAGAGTAAATGGAACAAATGTTCTTTTATCGATTATTGGAAAAGAAGCATGTTTGTGCTTTGCAAGTTCTCAGACATCACAGGGAAAATTTTCAACATCTAATCCTTGGAACAATAAAGGAAACATAATTTTAAGGACTCTAAATGATGGGTGACCAAGATGGAGGTGTTGAAGCCAAATCTTGTCTTTTTTGGATTTAAAAGACTCTGAAAGAAATGATAATGGTGAGGAATTCACAACACTAACTTGACCACTGGGTTCTTCAAGATGGTAGAGACCATCCCTTTCTTTAGCATGTCCAATCATCCTCCTCGTGCCCTGTTCCTGAAATACACAACGAGAGGGATAAAACACCACACTGCAATTAGAATCTTTAGTGAGCTTGTGGATTGACAAAAGGTCGGTAAATAATTTTGGTACATGGAGAACATTTCTAAGTGTGAGGGTTTTGCTTATAAAAAATTCTCCCTGACTAGCCATTGTTGTCACAGAACCATCGGCTATTATCTTCCTATTGCTAGGATAAGGTGTATATGAGATAAATTTTTGTGACGAGTGGGTCATGTGATCTGTAGCTCCTGAGTCACTGACCCAGGAGCTTGTGGTGGATATATCCGAGACTTTAAAAGCATGAGCAGAGGAAGATATACCTGAGAACCCCATAGTGCAAGTACCTGTTGTAGATGGTTTCTCCAAAGATCCCAGCAGATTCTTCAATTTCTCAATTTCCTCTCTATCGAACTCAATAGATGATTCTTGAGATTTACCTTCTCCAGCCTGTTGTATATTTGCCATATCCACTTGCACCTGTCTAGGGATGGCAAAATCCCCATACCCGACGGGTCCCCGCCCAACCTCGCCCTGTTTATGGCTGGTTTGGGGACTCATTTATGTAAATGGGGAGGGGATGGAGATTGTATTTGAAACTTCGGCGGGGGATGGGGCAGGGACGGGGTAACCCCGCCCCTTTTATAGTGCATTTTTACAAAATTGTCCTTACATGTTATAAAATATTACTAAATTACATAACTATATATATAATATATTCACTTCTGAAAGTGAAACCTTAGATCTATTCCCTCACAGCATAGAGAAAAAACATAGTCGTTGTGCATCAAACATCTGATCATGTTTTAAATTGTTATAATTGTGCTGAAGTTTTATTAAATTATTAGGTTGAAAATATTATGGCTGTGTTAATTTTGTTGAAGGTGAACTGGAATTTAAAAAATGTTATGCGGGGCGGGGCGGGAACGGGGGCTAATGTGGCGTGGCGGGGCGTGGATGGGGGAGGGGGTTGAAAATTAAATGGGTATGGGGGTAAAAAATTTGACCGGGGATGGGGATGGGGAATGAGATCCCCGCCCCACCCCGCCCCATTGCCATCCCTACCCCTGTCCCTTTGGTTGTCCACCTTTTGCCGTCTCCGGTTTGCCGTAGAGTTTCTAGCATTTGCCCGTAGTATGGCGGGACTTTTTGCAATATGTGCACCATAGGGAATCTTTATTGACTGGCCTTGTAAAATTTGCCCGCTTGTTGTCTTCATTAGATGGCTGGTCCCGGCCAAAGTTCCTCACATTTGCAGCTATTGTAACCAAGGCCGAACTGTCCACTGGGTTATTCTCAATCATAACTCCTCTTCTTCCTTCCTCAGCACGAACAATTGCAATTGTTTCATTAAGTGATGGCAGATCTTCCTTTCCGAGTATTTGGACTCTTATTGCATCAAATTCAATGTTTAGTCCTGCAAGAAAATCATAAGCTTGGTCTTTTTCGACAAACCTCTTAAGGAGGGCTGCATCCTCGCTGCATTTCATTTGAATGCACTGGTAATGATCCATCTCTTGCCATAAGCTCTGCAACAGATTGGAGTAGATCGATCGACTTCCTTGCTTGGTGGATGAAATCTTGGTCTTGCTTTCATAGATTTGTGCAACATCCCGGACTTTAGAGTAAGTCTGCTTCACGGCCTCCCATATTTCTTTGGCTGTGTTAAGAAACATGCGTGTGTCACTGATTTCTGGCAATATAGAGTTCCATAATCAGGACATCACCATAGAGTCTTGTTCATCCCAAGCATCAAATTTGGGATCCCCTTTGTTAGGCCCAGTACCGAGTAAGTGACTCAGTTTGCCTCTTCCCTTCAAGAACGTGCTAACCAGTTGAGACCACTTTAGATAGTTCTTCCAGTTCAACCCGTACGCTGCCTGGATGTTCTACAATTCCCCTGTTGGAATCGAGTTGCTACCTTCAGTCAAAGGAACCTCCGAGGTAGTCGTGGTGGTGTTGTTGTTGGCTGTTTCTGACATGGTCTTTTGGTAAAAGGGTTACGGTCTTGAGGGGTGATAGTGTGGGGTTGGAGATTGATAATAATCAATCTAGCGATATGAGAGTTCGCAAGACCAGAAATACAATTCCCAGAATTGAGCCTACAGCTCTGATACCATGACACAAATTGGGCTAAAATTCTATTGTATTGAAATCACAATGAAATTACACTATTATATACACTTCAGAGGATTTAAATTAGGAAACTCTAAAACTAGGAAACTGTCTAATACTAGAGATATTGACCAAAAACTAATTCCCTAAAATCAGGGATTACAATGCCTAAAACATTACAAAATCTCCTAGCTAATTACAGCTATACACACATGGTTTCCTTAACTAATTACAGCTGTACGCACACAGTTTCTTTATTTATAGAACCGAATTTTCCACAGAACAGGTCGGAGAAAACAACATTTATTTGATATACGTGTTCAAACTCAAGGAGGAAAAGAACATGGAAAAAATAGGTGACCATGATCCTTGGTTGGCATTTTGCAGAATACACATTGAGTGAAGTTATGCAACCCATTTTTAGTTACCTGTGTTGAGTTAGGAGCCTGTTCAACTGTATCTTGGAAATGCTTTAGGAAATAATAATGTATGATACCAAGCGAATTTAGATTCTGGAGGACTAAGGAACATCCAGGCTAATCTAACATAAGAGGAACCTATGGATGAAGGAAATCCAATGAGCTGGATCCTGCCTTTGAGTATTTGGTTGGACTGATTACAGAATTGTATTTAGACAATATAAATCATTGGATCTTCAATGAGTTCCTTGGAAGTTTTTTAAAGAAGATCCATCCTATTTTTAACATTACTAACAAATTTGATTCATTGGTGTTTTTTCCACTCTGGAACTGTTGTCCTGGATGGCAATTGCTTTGTAGATTTGCATTTTCTTATGTTCCATTTTTCTTAAAGATTTATCTGTCTATATGTTCTTTTCCTAGATTTTGATTGGAATTAAAATTTTTTTTTTTTTTGAATCAGATTGAGGGGAAGAAGAAAGAAAAACTTGACAGTTGGCTTTCTGATATGTCGCAACCGTTTAATATGTGTTCACATCATTCTTCAATTGTGAAGGTGAGAACCAAGAAGGCTTGCACTTGTAGTAGCATATATCTTTTTATTTTTCCTAAATTAGTGGCATACATGCTTACACACTTTACATATCTTATTGATCAATTGATGTACGTTACCCTGGTTCTTCTATGTCATACCAAAACCACCGTAGTTGGACATCACCGTGTTTCATGTTTGAAGTGTAATTGTATTGAGTATGTGCTTTTGATTATTAAAGGTAAAGAGAAGTGTTTTTGTAGTTATTGTTACCTTAATTACATAGACGTTCTTTATGTCTTCTTCTAGAAATCCACATTTTTACTGCATTATGTTAATCTTTATACTTATTCATGCACAAAAAACCTTTGAAGCAATGCTTATTCTTTCCTTGTGGATAAATTTGTAAGCAGCTGAAGACTATGACGTAACCTTTATTCACATGCAACCACTGGAAATATGAAGTCTAAAATCTATCGCTAATGCTAAATTATTTTAAAACAAAGAGTGGGCGTTAGTGTATTAGACTTCATTTTGGGCATGTTTCAAGCGGTGAATGACGAGTGGGCGTTGGTGAAACATAAGAAAAGTCCGTCCTGGAAGGGGGGAAGAGAGCTGAAAAGTCTCATCTCTACTGTGAACTATGAGGGGAGGAGTGGAGGAGGACTTGAGAAGAGGAATGGGAGAAGGAGGGGGGTTGGAAGAGATATTGTGTGTCCATGAAGCTCAAACTAGTGTCATGGAATGTTCGGGGTCTCAATGACCTGAACAAAAGGAAGGTGGTGAAGGCTTTGATTCGGAAATGGGAGGCCCATATGGTGTGTTTGCAGGAATCCAAACTGGCTAACGTAACAGATAGGATGATCAAAAGTTTGTGGGGAGGTAGGTTTGTAGATTGGGAGATAATTAATGCGGAGGGGACTGCGGGGAGTGTTGTGGTTCTTTGGGATAAAAGGTGAGTGTCAAAGGTTGATTTGTGGAAAGGGAAATACTCGTTATCCCTTGTGTTTGCGTTGGAGGAAGATGGTACACAGTGGCTTTTTTCTGGAGTGTATGGTCCAGGAGGAGATGCGGAGAGGAGAGGATTGTGGGAGGAGCTGGGGAATGTTGGAAGCAGATGGTCAGTTCCGTGGTGTGTTGGGTGGGGTGTGGGTGTGTGTGTGTGTGGGTGGGGGGGGGGGGGGGGGGGAGGGGGGGGGGGGGGGAGATCTTCAAGAGGCGATTGGACTGCAGTTATGACTGATATCTCTGATTTTATTGAATCCCATCACTTGCTTGATCTCCCAATGGAAGGAGGCCAGTTCACAGAGTCCAGAGGGCGGGACACTCCTACCCTGTCTCGGCTGGATAGATTCTTAATTTCTGGAGATATGAAGGAGAAGCTTCCAGACGTGTCTCAGGTGGCTTTGGCGCATGCAGTTTCCAACCATATTCCCATTCTCCTTGACTGTGGAGTGGTGAGGAGAGGAAGAACCCCGTTTAGGTTCGAAAACATGTGGCTTCGTGTTGAGGACTTTAAAGAAAGGGTTTTGGCCTGGTGGTCTGGTTATGAAGTTAGGGCTAGTCCAAGCTTCCAACTTGCGACCAAAATCAGGTGACTGAAGGGAGATTTTAAAATCTGGAACAAAGAAGTGTTTGGCAATCTGAAATGGCGTAAAAATAGACTTCTCACTGAAATTTCAGATTTGGATAGGAAGGAAGGATTGGATGGTCTAAGTAACATAGCGGTGAATAGGAGGGAGGAATATAAGGCTGAGTTTGAAGGAATTGTGGTGATGGAGGAAATTTCTTGGAGACAGAAGTCTAGAGCCTTGTGGCTTGAAGAAGGGGACTGGAATACAAAGTTCTTTCACCGTCTTGCTAATGCCCATAGAAGAGGAAATCACATTGGGAGGATCTGATTTGAGGGGGTTATGGTTACTAGAGAAGAGGGCATTCGGAATGGGTTTGCGACTTACCACGAGCAGCCATTTATGGAGACTGATAGTTGGAGACCATTGCTGGATGGTCTTCAGTTCTCTATATCAGGCGATGATAGAGATTGGCTGGAGAGACCGTTTGGGGAGGTTGAGGTTTTGGAAGCTCTGAGGAGTTGTGCTGGGGACAAAGCGCCAGGTCCGGATGGGTTTACACTTGCTTTTTTCCAACAAAACTGGGTGGTGGTGAAGACGGATGTGTTAGAAGCCTTGGGTGCTTTCTATGTGGATGGATTCTTTGAGAAGAGCTTGAATGCTTCTTTTATCACCATTGTTCCCAAAAAGGGTGGAGCTATTGAGGCCAAGGATTTCAGACTTATTAGCTTAGTTGGCGCTGTGTACAAGATTATCGCAAAAGTTCTTGCCATTTGTTTGAGGAAAGTTTTGGATGGAGTGATCTCGAAGTCACAAAATGCTTTTGTTGGTAGACGCCAGATTCTCGACTCAGTGTTAATTGCTATTAGATGTATTGAGGCCAGGTCTAGAAGTGGAGATTTGGTGATTGTTTGTAAATTTGATATTGAAAAGGCGTATGACCATGTTTGCTGGAAATTTTTGATGTATTTGATGATCAGGATGGGGTTTCAGTCTTGGTGAATGGGTCACCAGCAGGTTTCTTTGTTAGCTCTAGAGGGTTACGCCACAGAGATCTGCTATCACACTTCTTGTTCATTATTGTTATGGAGGCCTTCAACAAGTTGATGGGGAGGGCAAAACAACTAGGCTTCATCCAAGGTTTTAAGGTGGGACGCATTCCAAATCAGTTGGCCATCTCCCAATTGCTATTTACGGATGACACTATTGTTTTTTGCTATGCTAGTTGACATGACCTTAGTGTGTGCACAAAATGATGCACAACTATTTTGATTTAGAAATAGTGTCAAATGAGTATCACCTTTTAATATTTATAAAATCTGTTAGACATTAATACAGTGAAGTATAGAGTGTGAAGGGATCGTCCCAAGGGATTAAACACGTGATTGAAATCAAACTTGAACTTTAATGCTTATGAGATTGTAAAAGAGAGTTCGTTTGGTGATTACAATTAGAATTCAATTAAAACGATGCAATGTTAATTAACTGCCAAAGAGTAGAGTTTAAGAGATTGAGAGAAGTAGACTAAGGGCATAGGACTCACTACTAAGCACTTTCCGTAAACTAAATGCATTCAACTAATTGGGGAGTGTTAGAATGTATATTCTTTATAGTGTTGGGTCATTATGTAATTACTCATAGTAGTTAGGGTTATTGTGTACTTATGTAATTAGGGTCTCTAACCCTTTTCTTATATAAGCCTTATTTAGAGGGCTGAAGAGATGGAATACAGAACATACATTTTCTCTCAATCTCTCTCTCTTTCTCTCCCTATCTCTCATGAATCTGAACATGGTATCAGAGCGGTATAAATTCATGGGTGTGGGAAACAATAAGTTTGTTGCCCTTGTATGAGAGCGACTGGAATCGTGAGTATATCGTCGGTGTCTTTGTCAGAAGTTCGTGTCGCTGGTAGGTTGAGAACATCGTCCTTAGTCGCCGTCAGATTTGAAGCCCGTCGTCGTCATCGTCAGATCTGCAGCCTCCTTCGTCTCCGTCAAATTTGAAGCCCCTTGGCCGCTTGTGTTGTTGCCGCGTCGATCGTCAGCAAGCTCGCCGACATCCATTGTCGTTGTTGGCAGAGGTGAAGCTTCATCGATTCGCCTCTTTTTTCTTGGTCGGAAGTTGCGGAGGTTGTGTGGTGTCGCCGCTGTGTGCTCGCCGGAGTCTATTAGTGGGTTGTGAAGGAGAACAGCCCGTTTGGTGGCGCAGCTACACTATTCCAATCCTGGTTTACTAAAACCGGGATAGCAGAGACTTGTTTTGATCCAATCCAGTTTCCCAGATCCGATCCGGGTTCAGATCCGACCCAGGTCCGACCCGGTTCCAGTTCCGACCCAGATCTGGCCCGGAACCAGATCCGACCCGGTTCCGATTCTGTATTTTTCCCAAGTTCTTTTTTTTTTTTTTAATCTTCTCCATGGCTTCCAGTTCCGATCTCCCATCTCCTGCATCCTTTAATCCTCCCATGACTTCAGTCAAGCTTAATGGAAAAAATTACATTTTATGGGCCAAGTCAGTGGCCATTTTCCTGAAAGCCAAAGGCATTGGCGATCATTTGGTTCAAGATAAACCCAAAAGCAGTGATGCTAATTTTAGTTCATGGGAACAAAGAGATGCTCAGATCATCTCCTTAATGCTGAATTGTATTGAACCTCATATTAGCTCCAACCTGTTATATCTGGACACTGCCAAGGAGATATGGACCCGACTCCAACAGTTATATTCTGGTGCTGGTAATATAACCAGAGTTTATGAGGTGTGTAGACAATTTTTTGATCTCCAACAAGGGACTCACAGTTTAGAAGAATACCTCTCACGAGCAATGGGACTGTGTGAAGAAATGAATATGTATCAACCCATCACCTCTAATGTGAAAAGCACGCAGCAGCAACGTGAGGATTTTAATGTTGTTCGGGTTCTCACAGGATTGTCACAAGAGTATGAACCTGTTCGTGCACAGATTTTGGGTAGCTCTACACTTCCCTTTCTACCTGATATGTTATCCAGACTCCGGCGTGCCACTTTATCTAGTGGCTCTTCAGGCAGTACTTCCATTGGTGTCACTACTCCTTCTAACAGTGAACGTTCTGCCTTAGTTGTGAACCAGGGTGGCTTTCAGTCTTCTCGTGGAGGTGGTGCTGGTGGTCGTTTCGGCCGTGGCCGTGGTCGAGGCAAAGGCAGAGACTCCAAAATTTGCACTCATTGCGGTCTTACCAATCACACGGTCAATTACTGTTGGGATCTTCACGGGAAACCGCCATCTTCTTCCTATGCACATCAAGTGACTGCTAGTGATGGGGATTCTTCTCTCTCTGCCACATCCACTGCTCCACATGTGCCTGTTGAGACTGCTATGGTCACGATTCCCCATGATGAGTATGCTTAATTTCTGTCTCAACAACGGACGTCCACCTCATCTTCCATGGGGTCCTTGGCTCAATCAGTTAGTGC